GAGAAGCAGGGATGGAGAAATAGTGATGGAGAAGCAGGGATGGAGAATTGGAGATGGAGAACCAGGGAGGGAGAATTGGAGATGGAGAACTAGGGATGGAGAATTAGGGATGGAGAATTAGGGATGGAGAATTAGGGGTGGAGAATTAGGGGTGGAGAACCAGGAGGATGGAGAATTAGGGGTGGAGAACCAGGAGGATGGAGAATTAGGGATGGAGAACTAGGGATGGAGAATTAGGGATGGAGAACCAGGGATGGAGAACCAGGAATGGAGAACCAGGGATGGAGAATTAGAGATGGAGAACCAGGAGGATGGAGAACCAGGAAGATGGAGAAGCAGCATTTGGTGTGCAGGTGGCATTGGCAGCTCCAAATCTTGGCCCTCCTGGGGATACAGGAGGAATTTTCTCAGCCAGGAGGATGCTGAGGTGTGAGGGCTGTTTGTGCAGGAGGTGAGCACTGAGGTGTGAAATCCCTGCAAACCCACCAGGTCTGGAATTGCTGGGTGTGGAGGGAGGGAAGGGAAGCTGTGACAAGCTGAGGTGTGTGAAATACCAATTTGCTGGTGGGATGTCCTATTTGGGTGATGTTTTTTTTTTCCCTCCCCCCTCTTTTCTGGCTTTCTGAGAGAGAAACAAAGTCCCTGCATAATCCCCCACCTGCAAAGTGTTGCTTGTGTGTTCAAACCTGTGAGCTCAGCTCCCCACCAGGCACATGAGCTTCCTGCCACAGACCTTGTGTGGGGGCTGCTGTTGTTTCTGGAACTAAAAGCAGCCCCTGCTCAGCTCCCTTCCCACGTGTGGGGGGAGCAAAGCCTTGCTCCAAGGCACTGCTGTGGGGCTGGAGAGCCTTGTGTTACAGGTCTTTAGTGAATGTCTTTAGTTGCAGGGAAGGACTTAAAGGAAGTGGGGTGATTTTACTGGTTCTTTTGCCTTCCCCACCACCCAGCTTTGGGCACTGAGAAGATTCCACTGCACGTTGCAGGCAGGCTGAGTGTGTCGCCCAACCCAGGCAGCCCCTGCTAAAAGGGGGAAGAACAGCTTTTCTTGCAGATTTTGGGGTGGCTGTGGCTGCTGGGGAGAGCCCAGGGGCTAAGGGGTGATGATCTCTCTGAAGAGGGGGGATTATGTGATGCCAGAGGCACACAAGGGGCATCCAGGGCTGGTTTGGACCGTGATGGATGAGCCTGGTTGGGCTGTGACTTGAGGTACTTCAGTGGCACCTAAACCAAGGGTCTGGACAGAACTTCCTCATCTGCTCTGGAGTTTCTCCAGGGAACAGCTCCTGAGCCATGGCCTCTGTTACAGGTTTTTAGTGAATGTCTTTAGTTTCAGGGAAGGACTTAAAGGAAGTGGGGTGATTTTACTGGTTCTTTTGCCTTCCCCACCACCCAGCTTTGGGCACTGAGAAGATTCCACTGCAGGTTGCAGGCAGGCTGAGTGTGTCACCCAACCCAGGCAACCCCTGCCATCCCTGCTAAAAGGGGGAAGAACAGCTTTTCTTGCAGATTTTGGGGTGGCTGTGGCTGCTGGGGAGAGCCCAGAGACTCTTAAGGGGTGATGAACTTTCTGAAGAGGTAAAGTGAGCCCTGGAAGTGCTCCCTGAGGGGGGATTATGTGATGCCAAAGGCACACAAAGGGCAGCCATGGATGGCTTGGACCCTGATGGATGAGCCTGAGTGGGTTCATCTGGGTGGGCTGTGACTTGTGGTACTTCAGTGGCACCTAAACCAAGAGTCTGGACAGAACTTCCTCATCTCCTCTGGAGTTTCTCCAGGGAACAGCTCCTGAGCCGTGGCCTCTGTTTTCCCAGGTCAGGAGGATGGTGGGGGCTCTGGTTGCAGTTGGCATGGGGAGGTTGGCACCTCATCACGTGAAGGAGCTGCTGGAGGTGAAAGATGCCCTGGCTTTTCCTCCTAACACCATGGCCCCGCCCTCAGGGCTCTTCCTGAAATCTGTGGAATACGACGAGGCAGGTGAGTGGATGCTGGGAATGGCTTGGGTTTTGTGGGAAGGGGGCCAGTGACACCCACAGCCTCTGTGGGCACACACCCAGGATGGTTTGGGTTGGAAGGGACCTTGAAGATCATCTCATGAAGGTCCCAGGGAGGGTGTCAGACACAGAGGGGTTCCCAGCAGCTGATGTGGAAAACCAGTGTGTTTTTCACTTGTAGATTTTCCCCTCTTCCTTTTCAGGTTAATAAGAGAGAAGTTCTGTTGGCAGTGACTTTAAATGGTACTTTAAATTCTCCTAAATTCTTGTTCTGTCCCAGACCATGGATAAAGACCCAATTTTCTGTGGATCCAGTTCAGTTCACTCCCTTTTCCCTTGGTATTGTAAAGGCTGGAGGACATTGCTGATAGCAATGTATATGTCCTTAGGAAAGTTCACAACTGTAGCAAATATTTTAAAACATCATGGATACTGATGTAAGTTCTTTACTTTCTCTGTTTTGGTGAAGTTAGAAAGGGAAGCAGCCAAGAACAGTGCAGGGTGCTGGAATGAGCTCTGGGCACTCAGCTTGGCCCTGGAAAGGCAGCTGCTGGGTTTGTCCCCCTCCTTCCCTCCCAGAGCCCCCAGGGGGGGAAGTGCAGACCACAAATTTTAAGTGCTTTCAGGTGGTTTCTCTGCCATCTTTTCCCCTAAATCAATGTTTTCTTTTTTTTTTCCTCTCTCCCCTCTCAGATTTGGACGTGACAGTGGCCCCAGGAGGATGAATGGGAGCCCTGTGGGACGAGTTGTGTGTGAAAGGACTGCTGTGGATGTGGGCTGGAGCCTGGCCAAGGGACACAGCCTTGTCTCAATAAAAACCATTGACTGTGGCTGGAGGCATCTTCCTATCATTTGTTCTTGCCCTCTGAGGCTGCCAAGGGAAAGGGAAGAGCTGCCCTCAGATAACTGCTCGTTCTTTTTGCCTTTCTCTGGGGTTCTGCTGCCTGTCTCAGAAGGAGGAAGGAGTTGGGGCTTGGTTTTTTTTGTAGGTGGGGTGTTTTTCTCCTCCTGTGGTGTGTGTGGGAGGAAGGCAGGCTGAGAGCAGAGGAGAACTGAGCATTTCCTCTCCAGCCCTGCCTTTGTGCAGGGCAAGGGCCAACTGCTGCTGCCTGATGAGTGATTTACAGCCCCAGCCTTTCAAAGTGCTGCTGTTTCCTCTCCCCATCACTGCTGAGCTGCAGCAGAGGAACTTCATCCTGTCCCCCTGGTACAAAGCCTCTTCTGTGCAGACCAAAGTTCCTCTGAGGTCACTTAAAAGAGTTTTTTAATGGTCCCAGCACGGGAGCAGCGACTGGGGTGAGTCAGGAGAACCATGAAATGGCCCTTTGGGGTTTCTCTGAGGTGGCTCGTGCTGCTGCTGGGCTCTGATGTGCTTGTTGTCACCTTTTGCTCCTCTCTCTGGTGCTGCAGAATGTTCTGGGTCTGTCAGAGATCTCAGGGCCTGTGAATCAGACTGCAGATATATATTTTTTTTATATATTTATATATATTTGTGTATATATAAATATATATTTTATATATTTAAATACATATTTTATATATATTGTATATATATTATATATTTTTATATATAATATATTTAAATAGATATATTTTTATATATAATATATATTATATATTTTTATATATTTAAATATATATTTTTATATATTATATATATTATATATTTTTAATATATTTTATATATTTGTATATTATATATTATACATTATATATATTTATATATATCATATATTTAAATATATATTTTTATATATTATATATTATATATATTTATATATGTATCATATATTGAAATATATATTTATATATTATTTAAGTATATATATTTTATATATTTTAAAATATTTATATATATATATTTTAATATATTTATCATATTTTTCTTTCTTTTTTTTTTTAACTACTCTAACCTCAGGTCCTGCCTGCTTGCTTAGGCAATAAATACACTTTTGGGGGTTTTTCTGGTGAATGACACCAGAATCTCTGTCTGTTTTGGTTCTAAAGTGACTGTTACAGTGTCAGGTTAAAGGGAAGATAAGGTGAGATATTCCTGCCTGCCCTCTCCCTTCCCATGGAATTCCCTCAGGGGTTAATTCCCAAAGTCTCCCTGGATCTGCACCAGAGTTGAAGCTGCTGTGTTGCTCTCGTGGTACCTGTTTGTGCTCCCTGGCCCATCCTGGCTGGATCAGGACAGGGAACTGGGGATGCTGAGCAGCCTGCAGGGGATTTTCCAGCACCAGCAGTGGGGTTTGTCCAGAACTCTGCCAAATCTTTTCAGCCAGAGGTTTTCCTGAAAGGGAATGGCAGCATTCCTTTGCTCTTCCTCCCTTCAAAGGGGCAGTGGGAGTGGAAAAACTGTATCTTTCACTTGTAGGTTTTCCCCTCTTCCTTTTCAGGTTAGTAAGAGGGAAGTTCTGTTGGCAGAACTTTAAATGGTACTTTAAATTCTCCTAAATTCTTGTTCTGTCCCAGACCATGGATAAAGACCCAATTTTCTGTGGATCCAGTTCAGTTCACTCCCTTTTCCTTTGGTGTTGTCTGGAGGACAGAACAGAGCATCCTTTTGCTCATACAGTGGCTCTCTTAATTTAACAGCATCTAATGGCCCATTTTGGAGGCCCATTCTGGAGCAGTGGTACCTGGTTTCAGAGGGACAGGAATGGGATGGGATGGGATGGGATGGGATGGGATGGGATGGGATGGGATGGGATGGGATGGGAGGACTGGAGGGGATCAGGGGTGGCTTTGGGTGGGTGTTTTGTGCCTCCCTCATGCAGTGGATGCTTGAGGAGAAGGAAAGCAGCCCCTGGTGCTCTCTGCCCAGCTCTGGGGGACACTTCACTGCCGGGGCAGGGGCTCTGTCTTGGATGTGAGTGACAGGTCTTGGCTTCCTGTGGTTTCTCTCTGCAGAGCAACGTGACAGAACTCAGCACTGGGGTGTCAAAACTCCCCACAGAAGAGCTGAGCAGGGACCTGGTGGCTGTGAGGACCTTGGAGAGGCCACTGAACTCACCTGCAGCTTTTACTCTGAGCTCTGGTAAGTTCTATTTCTGACTAAATTTATTGTGAGTCTTTACAGGGCATAAAACCACTAAATGCTGACACTGTTGGAGTGTTCACCAGGCCAAATTCTGCTGCAGGCTCAGGCACCACCACTTTTTAGCCTCACAGTGCAAAAATACCTGTCAGTGAGGTTCCTGCAGGTGTTTCCCAACTTCTGGTTGCAATAAAAACCTCTTTATCAAATGCAGTGGCTGAGCAGCCCAGGGTCAGCTGCCCAGGCAGTAATTCAGGAGTAGATTCCCTGGCAAACTCTGCAGTTGGAACAAAGAACTATTGAGGGGGTTTTTTGCTTTACTTTTTTCATCCCAGAGCAGCTGTTAAAAGTAATCTGAAGGCACTGAATTAAAGGAGATGCTCTTTTAGCATCAGTAGAGAATTTCTTTACGAGTCCAAATATTTTTATGTCCATCATTAATACTTATTATCAGGGTTATTTAGCATTCTTTTACTTTTTACATGGTTGCATTACTGGTTCCTTTCATTTGATTCCATTTGGACAACCCATACATGGGGAGATCTGTGTGTCTGATTGTTGCTTTAAAACCAGAAAAAACCTCACAACTGACCAGAGTTTAAACACCTTGGGTTTTACATGAGAACATTTCTAATCATTTCATAAGCTCAAAACCCCAGTGAGCTTTGGGGTGTGCTTTTGTGTGCTTGTAAATCAAATAACTGTACAGAAACAGAGGTTCAGTGGTGCTTTTTGTTTGTCTGGAAGGAATAACAGCCTCAAAAAAAAAAAACCAAAACCCACCTGAACACAAAACAAACAAACCAATTGTGGGGATTTGATCAGACTCCATACTTTTAAAATGTTTTCTTAAATCAGTAAATCTGTCCACTCTCAGAATGGAAGGTGTAAAATGGGATCCTGTTTTGGGTGGGGAGGGATTTGGGGGATTTGCCTGGTGAGAAGCAGGAGCTCCTTGGTCTCCTTTCACCCTCCCTGTAAGGATTTTGTAGGTCTTACCCTTCCCCATCTGCAGCCCCACACTCTGAACCTGCACAAGGTGGGTGTTCAGTGGCTCTTGCTCTGCCAAACTCTGACATAAAGGTCATTTCCAATCCTAAAGTTTGGTATTAATTCCCCCCCATGTTTACAAACCCTCTGCTGTGAGGTGCCAGACCTGTGCAAGCAAACCTTGCCTGCTTTTTTCTTCCTTTCTCATGTTCCACTTACCTCTGGTGGCTTTGCCTTCGTTAGAAAAACAAGCGTGGGGAGGAAATGTGAATTCAGAGTTTCCTCTGGAAAGTACCCAACGACCTCTGTAGCTTTAGTGCTTTCAGTGCCTCGACTTTGGGAGCTTTTTTTGCCTGTTGTGGCTGAGTTTAGTTTCTCAAGAAGCTATGTTTGGTTTGCTTACTCAGATTTCTTTTCTATTTGATGGGAGCAGAACAGTTGGAGTGCAGTTTATTGCCTGGGTGACATGAGTGACCTGGGTGAGGAGTCCTGCTTGTGCAGTGCCTCTTTGCCATATTCCAAACATATAAACCAGTCCTTTAGGCTCCCTTTGGTTTCTTTTCTGCCCGCAGAGAGGGTTTAGGGTGCTGTAAATTCACCCCTTGTACATGAACATCAGCTGCCTCTGTTATTGTCACTTTGGGGTGATTTTAGTGCCAGTAAATACTGTCTACTGTGTAAACTCAAATGCTGGTGGTTTAAATGATTTATTTTTTCCCTTCTAGTGGCACTGCTTTCCATCTGAGCAGCTCTGAAGCACAGACCTCACCAGGCTGAACATCTGTGGTGCAGCTTTAGCTCTCGCTCGTCGAGATGAACTAAAACTCCAGGACCTCCTGAGGGAAGGGATGGATTGAGGCTCTCACCCCGTGTTGGATGTCCTCCTCTCCAGCAGAAACCATGGCAGGTGTTTCCTGGGCCTCCAACGAGACAGTTGCCAGCTCAGAGCTCTGGTTGGAAGCAGATTCCCAGGATTCCTTGTTCACTGTCACCTACAGCATTGTCTTTGTGCTGGGGCTGGTGGGAAACACCCTGTCCCTGTCCCTGCTGTCCTGCAGAGCGAGGCACATGTCCCACTCCTACATCTACCTGCTCAACCTGGCCCTGGTGGGCACCCTGTTTGTCTGCGTGCTGCCTTTCAGAATCCATTACCACCTGCACGGGAGCAACTGGACCTGGGGGGACGCTGCCTGTGGGATCACGGGGACCCTGTTCCACATCCACATCTACCTCAGCATCGCCTTCTTCACCTGCCTCTGCGTGGACCGTTACGTGGCCGTGCTGCACCCCTTTGCCTACATCCAGCTCCGGGCCGGCCATTGTGTGCTGGTGGCCACGGCCCTGTGGGTGGTGGCCCTGGGTGTCACCGTCCCGCTCGTCCTTGCAGGTCCCCTCCACCAGCGGGGTGTGGGGAACACCACGGCCTGCCTGGAGAGCTTCCCCACAGGCAGCTGGACCCAGCAAGAGGCCCCTCACCATGTCCTGGCCTTGGTGTTGGGGTCGATGGTGCCGCTCTCCCTCATGCTGGTGGGGTTCCCGCTGGCGGCCTGCAGGATCTCCCGCGTGAGGCGCGGCGTGGCCTGGAGGAAGGCCCTGAGCACCATCTCCATCATCCTGGCCATCTGTGCCCTGTGCTTCCTCCCCTATCACCTCACCCACCTGCTGCACTTCCTGACGAGGGTCCGGCTCATCCAGGACGGGTCGTTCTCCATCCTGATCCGCGGGATGAGGAGGGTCACCCCGGCCCTGGTGAGCCTCAGCTGCTGCCTCACCCCGCTCCTCTGCTACCACAGCTCTTCCAGCAAGCAGTGGCACTGCAACTTCAGGCTCAGGTTCAGGTCTAAAAAGGTGTTCACCATCTGTGACCGGAATTTTGGGGAGCCCTCCTGCGATTATAAACTCCAGCAGAGACGTGGAGGCAAAAACCCCAGAGGTGGAACCAGCTGGTTCGCTTCAAGTGAGTACAGGGGTGATCTTTCCAGCTGTTTTTTTACAAGCAAAGCTGTAAAACCTACTGGTTTTTGGTGTGGTGGCTGTTAAAGCACTGGAGGGAAGTGCCCACCAGCTGTGGATGTTGATCAGCCAACTTGGACAGCCCCTGTGTCCTCGGACAGGCCTTCCCAGCACGTGCTAAAACCTGCTGTGTTCACGATGTTTTGGGCTTGTTCTGTTTAACTTCGGGCTTGGCAGACCACAGGGCTCTTTTCTGGGAAGCAGCACAGCCCAGGAAAGGGCCACCTGAAGGAGATCAGCCTCCCAATTGATAGAGGTGGATTCGGGCAGCCCTGCTTGGTTTTTTCCCCCTGTTTTGGAGGGATCTGGTGTGTTCTCCCCGGGTTCAAAGCCCACGTTCCACAGCCAAATAAGGGCTTCTCATCCTCACTTGGCTTCCTGAGGAGTATTCCAGGACAGGCTTTCCTGGATTCAAGCTGGACATGGATTAATGCAAGTTTAGAAGGGAGCAGATCCCAGTATTTATCAGTCAGTGGTAAACAAGCTCCTCTCTGCAGTTCCTGGAGGAGCTGCCACACTTTGCACTGTGCAGTCCCCTTCAAATGTCAAAGCTCTCTCTTTTTCAGTCACATTTTGTGCTGTAAACACATCTGACCTTTCTCACCCCCGTTTTCTTGCATTAACAGACCCACGTGGCTTCTGAGAAACGCTGAGTTTTCCATCTGCAAAACGTGAGACTGTGGAGAGAATTTTTCATCTGTGGGTGCTCTGAGGCAGCAGAAAACCACAGGCCTGGCTGACAACCCGAGTTTACTTTGGAGGGATGAGGGGTCTTGGTGTAACAGGTGCAGAGAGTCGCTGCTCTGCTCCTTCCCCAGGCCACCCCAGAACTCTCTGTGTGCTCTTGGGCTCTGGGTACCAGGACTGTGAGGAGCTGAGAGCAGCAGGGACACTGTCAGGGGCTTTGGTTAACAGGACAATGTGCTAAATGAGTATTTTAGTTTCCAAATGCAGCCTAAAATTCCTGTTGTAACCTGGCACGTTCCCAGGTTTTGATCTGTTCCTGGGCTTGGAACAAGAACTGCCCCAGGCCTGGAGGGAGAGAGCAGGATTATTGTGGCAGAAGGATTTGGGGGAATCACTGGTTGTGTTTCTCTGTTTATTAATTTCTCTTTACTCAACAATGGATGGTGCAGCTTCTGCCCAAATTCAGCCACAGTTTTGCTTTTAGCTTGGAGAAAATTTTAAATACTGGTGAGAAAAATCTGCTCAAGCTTTCCTAAAACAAGGAAAACGATTCCTGTTCTGTGTGGGCTTGGGGAGCCAAGTGCAAACCCTGGCACTGTGGAGGCAGGAGAGGCTCAGAGGGAGCATTAGCACAAATTAATCCTTCACCTTTCATGAGCCATTGCTATTTTTATCCCATTTACAGACTATGGAAAATCTTCCCAGCACTGGAGGGGGACTGTTCTTATCAACTAAGCACAATCTTTATGCTCTGCATAAAGGAAGAAAAATGTTATTAGAGGCTCCATGCAGGAGAGCAGCTTTCCTGGAGGCTCCTCAGCTGTCCCTGAGGGAAGGAGGGAGAATTAAATAAGTTTAGCAGCTTGGTGATCAGCACATTTAGGGCTTTATTCTTTTACCTCCATTATCCTTTGCATTTTAATTGTTTCACTCAGCACTGCTGAGATTTTTTAAGGGCAATGAGCTGCAGGAGGGAGGAACACTGAGTGACTTTTGCTTTACTGTGTAAGCAACTCAAAGCTTGTTCCTCAGGACTGTTTAAATACAGGTTGTCCCAACTCCCTGCACGGGTTTCCAAGGGGGAAGATCACAGTGCTGGTGACAGGTAAGGCACTGGCACTGCAGTAACTGGACAAACACTGTAATTCTTTTATTAAAACAAACCAGGAAAAAACCCATTGGCAAGGTAAACAAAATAAAATCTCCGTCTCTGTAACCCCCTGTGCTCTGCTCTGCTCTCAGGATGTGCTCTGGGGCAGGCCTTTCTTCAGGAGGGAGGTGAGATAACTGCCCAGCTCTTCATCCTACAGAGGAGAAAGAGAAACGGGATGAAAGCAAAATCTTCTACTTGCCTGTCCCATCTGGGGCAGTAAATTCGACTCTGGTACCCAGAAATAGGTTGAAACAATTCTTGGACCCTGCAGGATCTAATGTTAGCTGTGTTCAAAAATGAAAACAGAGCCACAGCTGCCTTTCTGAGTGTTCCTCCAAAATACTGGTGTAAAACTCCCATTTCTCAAAGGAGGTGGCTGGTCCTGAGGGGTCTCTTTTGAGGAAAATCACCATTTTTCTTGAAAGTAAGGAATAAAGAACCATTGATTGTGTTGCTTTGCCCTCAAAAGGCATTTCCTTGATTTAAAGAAAGAATTTAATAATACAGCCAGAGAAACTGTGCTTTTGAGAGGAAGAAAACATAATGAAGATCTAATAAAATAGTGTTAAGATTAAACATGGGCTTCAAGCAAGTATAAAACTAAGAAATACAATGTAAAATACCTCCACACTCTGCATGGCAGTAGGGATACAACTCAATGTCCTCAAAACACAGAATTGTAATGATTAACTGTAATTAACTGTAATTACTCCAGCTCAGTGGTCCCAGAGAGCTCCTGTAAAGCCATTTGTACTAAACCCAAAAATGGTCAAGCAAATGGCAGCAACTCAGCTCATCCTCCAGTCAAACTCCTTCCAAACCAGAGGGAGGAAGGCTCAGCACTTCCAGCCACCTCCAGCCCAGGACAGTTTTGGACTAAAAGGAGTTCAGAGCAGAAAGTCCTGGATTGTTCCTACCTGGTAAGTCCAGGACACGAGCAGGACTTTGGTTCCCTGATCCTCTGAGTGTGCTGTGGCCTGGATCAGGATGGACTCCACGGTTATAGAGCCATCAGGGAGATGCTGCACGGAATAATCCTTCAGGACCCTGGTAAGAGAGGAAAAAAATGATTTATTTGAGAGGGAAATGCACCCAGGTGAAGGGTGGGTCACCCCTGCATCTTTATCCCAAATCTCCTTTTCGCTGTGGCTGAGCCAGCACCTACTCCCCACAAGGAGTCTCCCACTTCCCAAGGAAGGGGGAACAGGGATAACCCACAGCCTGGTGATTCTGGTGCTTGTATTAATCGTGTAGGATTTCCTACAGAATTTATTTCTGGCCTTCATGACAGTTTTACCCCCAGTTCATCAGAGCAAAGCCCCGTTCAGGGATCCGCGCCTGCCTGCAGGTTCTGCTGTTGCCAGCTCAAAGGAGGGGGCACCTGTGCTACCTGGATTAGGAATGATAAACTCAATGCATCCCTGGGTGGGGGGGAAAAAAAACAACCCTGTGAGGTAAGAAGGGCCTCACCCCTTGAGGTGGTTGTAGACCCGAAGCACCGTCTCGTGCTCCTTGCGCGGGTCCTGGATGTGGACGCGGCACGTGAAGCGCAGCTGATGCTCCGCCAGGCCCAGCTCCTTCAGGGCCTGCTCGGGGGAAACCAGCCTGAAACTCTGCAGAGAGAAGGGATAAATCCATGAAAATCCACCCCTTGGAGCCTTCTGCAGTTGCACTGCCCCTCTGTGGGCAGCTGCTCACGGGTGTGTTCAGCACGTTCCCATCGCGCGTTGCCGTTTGTTCACCTTCTCCATCTCACTGCTGGGAGCATGAGGGGGTGATGGCAGTGGCAAAATGTCCACCTAAATAATCATACCAGGCCTTCATTTGACAAAACTGAAGTTGCTCTCTGGAAGCTGGTTTTATCCTCTTTATCAGGGGAATGGTGTTTGAATACAAACGTGAGGTCGCAGAGGAAGAAATCCTCCCCTGGCACCTTCTTTGTAAGAAACCAGAGCTGCTTAAATCTTGATTTTGGCTCCTTGTGCACCCAGAACTCGTGTGCGAATTATAAAACATTCAGAGGACTCAAGACAGGCTTAAGAACACTTTTACTCACGTTGTCCTTCATGAGTAACGTGCCGTGCATGAGCTTTGGCTTCTTGGCATCTGGCACAGGACCTAAACCACGGCCAGGGGAAAGAAAACACCAGTTAACAATGAGGTGCTGAACTGTCCCATTAAACAGCTGCTCTAGGACCCAACAGATGGATCTCTGAGGCCCTCATGAGGTTCAGACACTAAAATCTTTCACCCTTCTCCTGCTAAGTGCATTCATGGTGCTCAACCATCATCAGAACTCCTGACACATAAGAAACCGTGTCTAGTTTACAACACAGAACAACTGCCTCTCTTCCCAGAGCACATCCTGATGTGAGAGGGTTTTAGATTATTTTTTTTTCAACTTGAGTTTATAAAAATAACTCCAGTTTTCCCAAACCTAGCGAGTTTTTTGTTACCATAGTGAACGAGCAACAAAGTGGCAAACAAGGCAGCCTGCCTGTGTTTGTTTTTAAACATTATTATATTTGCAGCATTCTGCCTCCTGCCAGCACTACCCAGCACAGGAGCAGGGCCTGAAAGAGGGAATTTTGTGGTTGGAAGAATCACCTATTGCTGCTTCTCTCTTGAGGAGGCCCAGGGAGATGTCCACGGGGATGCAGGGGTTGGTGAAGATGGTGGTGGTCTCTCCGTTGGCGGGCATGTAACAGCTGACATCTGCAATGGGAGCAGCCCCTGTCAGGCCTGTGGCAGCAGGAAATGCTGCACCACAATAAAACAACTTCATTTTGAGTCCAAAGGGCCATTAAAATTAACTGGGCTTAGTTAACATGTTAATTAAGATGTTACAGACACCAGTTTTTGAGGGTATTTGTAAATTCCATCAGACCTAACCCTGCTGAGGGCCTGTGGATTAAATACCTTTAATGCTCTGCTGCCACTCCCTGCTCAGCACCAACACACATGGGATACCTACGGAATTCCTGCTCTATTTTCTGCTTCAGGAACTCCATTTTCTTGGCTTCCCCATGGACCAGGAGCACGTTCCGAGGCTCAGCCTGGCGGATGAGCTGCATGATCCCCTTGGCATCTGCGTGGGCACTGAAGGACATGTACTCCACCTGCATCTTCACTTCCAGCTGGGGAGGAGCAGAAAGCACAGGATTTGGGGATTGGGAATGGCTTTGGCTCATGACACCTTGTATAACACACACAGACTCCTCTCTAGTTAAAGGAGGAAGGAGAACACCTAAACTGCCTTAAAGAAAAGCTTTCAGTAACTTGCAGCCTCAAATTCCCCAATTCCAGAGAATACTTGACACACATTTGCCACAACAAATCAATACTTAAGGACAACTGGTATCACTTTATTATCCACATCTGCTTAAAAACATAACATTTTTACCTATTTGACTAATGGGGCTTTGTTATTAAATGTTATAAATGTACCCCATTCATGGCAGAAGACAACATGCTTGCAAAGGCAGAGGAAAAAAATGAGTCCAAGTCCAAAAAAAATTGTTACTTTGAGGCATTTTCAGGGTTGGGTGCAGCATAATTCACAGTGTGTAACTACCACCTTAAGTTTTGAAGAATTTCCCCTCAAATGACCCTTCCCTTGGATTGAAAAATCCAACTTACAATTTGTCTGCCCTCCATCTCCAGCTTGCGCTGCCCGCTGAGGATCTTGTGGCCCACAGTCCCCTGCACGCAGTATCCAGGCATGATCACCTGGGATGGAAAACCAGGAATGTCACCAAACTGCCCCTGCCCTGGGCCTGGCCCAGCTCCCAACATCCAACCAGCCACAAATGCACAGTTTGGAGCTCGGGTGAGCTCTGCCCCGGGCTGGGTCACGGCAGAACTCGTGGCATTTAAACCCCAGAGGCCGAGGAAAAGCTCTCCTGGAACTCCTGCCCTCAGTGCCACTGGCACAGCAACAAAAGCACCACTCAAGGGAACAGTTTCTTACCATATTCTTTTCATTCCCTGCCCATTTCCTGAAGATTTGAAGGGACTGTCCTGCGTGAAGCATTCCAGGCGTTGCAAACACCACCTGGAATTCAAAGATACGCCGTGAATCATCACAGAAAAGGGTTTTTCCATTACTTATAATATATTAATATTCTAAATCTGTGCAGAAAATCCCCCCATGCCCATTACAGACACTCCATCAAATGGGGATTTTTGCTATTTTATTTTTTTCCCCACCTTGTCTAATTTTCACAGGAGCTGAACTGCTGTTTTAGGAAACGTTTGTAAGCAGTGTCTGCTGAAAACTCTGAATGGTTTTATAATGATAACTAATAAACCAGTCAGAAATAAACCCAGCAGTGCAAGATTGTGCTGTAAAGGATCTGCCACCTGAGTTACTTACAGAATATACTGTAAAGATGATGGTTTGAACCATGATGGCTCTATCAGATTCAGTTTGAATCCATCAGATGTGAATCAGATCTGAATCTATCACATCTATCTGATTATCAGATCAGATCTATCAGATCTGAGTCTATCAGATGTATAGATTATATACAGATGCAAGTTTTTAACTTTCTCTGGGTCTTTTACCTTTACTAAAATATAGAAATATCTTTAACAGTTATAGAGATGGCTTGGCCACAAAAGGGTTGTAGGTGGGATTAACAGGGTAGAGGAGGCTTAGGCTGCCTGTTGATCCCAGATTAGTTAAAACCAGCTCCCTGAGCCCCCAGCTCTGCCCTGTTCCCTCCCTAACACCCACCTACCATGGGCCCTGGGTTGTCTGCAAAGGCCCTGTCGAAGGCTTTGATGTGTTTGAACTCAAACATGTTCCTCTGCACAAAGGTTTTCCGGATTTTCTGATTAGTCCACGTGATGAAGA